AAGTTGAAAGAAAGAATAATAACCATAAAGTGAGAATTAAATGTATTATTAGTAAACGAATATTATTATAGAGAATTACTTGTGAAAAAGTTTTCAATATAATTATGAAACATAAATTTAAATTAAATATAAACATCAAAGCAATACATTATTAATCATGTAAATAACATTGTAATGCGCATAATATCAATTATTTTTAATTAATACAAATATTGAAATTTAAATGAAACGAATTGAAAATAATTGTTGAAATATGGAAGCGTTTTAAAATTTAAAAAAAAGAAGCTAAAACTATCGACGATAATTTACGATGTATTCAAGTCGTAACCCATAAATACGTCTCATGAAGATGTGCTGCCTGGTAAAGCGAAGTTATAGGCACAAGAAAAATGCGACGGAAAATGATCCATGAATAAGAAATAACAGTCAAAATCGTCCGCATTCGCCAACAATATTAATTGTTATATAATTTAGATCTCTTCGCCCACGGGCAAAAAAAAACCAAACAAAATCGAGTATATTATGTAGTGTATATGCTTAAAATTATCATACATCACTATACGGTGCGGCGTTTTACTGCGACCGTAATTTAAAATGCGGCAGTAAAACTTCATTTAATAACAACGTTAATTATCTTACGTTTTAATTTCGTTTCGCTACGCGAGTTCCCTTCTTTTTCTTTTTTTTTTACTTTTTTGGCATTCGGCCACAAAGCGAATTACTTTTCATGCTTTAATCCGTCTTAGATTGGATTAAACCTTAATTCCTTGCAATTCCAGAATAAAAAAAAATCGTAAGGACGAGCGAAAATCTAGTTTTAAAGTATAAATTAATAACAATCGAATCAACACTAAGCACACTAGTGTTGCTTAGTCTCGACATTTAAGGCATTCTCGGGAAATCTCGGGACTCGAGAAAAAATGACAATGTAACAAATAGTAAACTAAATATTTATTAATATATTGTATGTATATATACTGATTTTTAATTTTCATTGAAAAAATAAGTTTTTAAATACGTGAGTGCATTTAAGAACTCGTCTAAAATTCTATTTCTTAATTTTATACCAAAATTTCCTGCTAGACAAAACGTCTTTTCACATTCAGTAATTGTTGGTACTTTATATTGATTCTGTTTCCATTAAGGTTACATTAAGTTCATCTGCCTTATGCAAAGTTCTCGGGTATTTGTCACTAAAAATATTGCATGAAAATGTTTCAGAGCTATCAATACAAATTTGTTATGTTTCAGATCATTGAAAAAATCATTCAAATTATGTCTAATTTTGAACAACCACAAAAATATGTTCTCTAGCTTCATATAGATATTTCAATAAAGTCATAATTCGTTTATTGCTCCTCAAATCGCAACACTTCCAAAATTTATTGAAATATCTCGAGTCTCGAACGATAATTCCCTCTGTATTCAAGACTACATATGAGAAATTTGTCCCGGGAAATCCCGATTCAACAACCCTTGCACACATTTCTCTTTGTATGTCTCAGCAGATTTCTTGTCTTCACGAAAAAAAAAAGTAAAATATGTCAAAAATGTTCGTTTTTGCACTACTGTTAAAATTGATCATAAACTAACTAAGAGTAATTGGCTACTAAAGGAAGCTAAAAGTGACATCTATCAAACGATTAAAAGAAAAAATCATAAAATTGACAGAATTCCTTAAAAAATCATAAAGCTATCTATCTAGTGATAAACCGAAATTACTTTCTTGTAAACCCAATATACAGGGTGTCCCAAAATTAACGCAAGATTTGAATTTGCAGTAAAGTGTTGGAAACAAAAAAAAAACAATTTGACAGCTGAGAGGTTAAGGTTAGTTAATTGTGGGACACCCTTTATTAGTTTAGTATATTTCTTTTATTTTGTATAATGATTGTATTATTACTATACATTTATTTAAAATAAATTTTGGACAACTTAGTAATTTAGTTAACAAATATATATTAAAATATAAGTCAAATTTAAACTAAATTGAAAATTCAGCAATAATTCATACGGTGCGGATAATTTCCAGAAAATGGTCTTTTTGAAATTTTCAATTCGAGAATAAAAAAAATCGTAAGGATAAGTAAAAATCTAGGTGATAATTTTAAAGTACAAAAAAGTATAAATTAATAACAATCAAATCAAAGTAGTGGCATTTCGCACACATTTCCATGAAGACAATGCGCAGACCGAATTTGCATCTATACAAGTTTCATGTGTTTCGACCGAACTGCGTCAAAACTTTATTAAATCGTTTTATTTTATTTTCATTTATACTTCTTAGGAACGGTCTTCTCGTATTACAGATATATTTGTGATATAGCGCACAGCCAGCATGTGACATATCAGCTTACGATTGTTCAGAAACACATTTGATTAATTGGAGCGAGATGAATAAGAGAACAGAACTTCTTCGGTGAAGTCGCAACTTTCTTGAGCCCGACCAGATGAATGAATACATTATTCTATAATAATGACTTTATTGTAGTCTTTTAAGAGCTTTACATCAAAAAGGAATATAAAATATGTATGACTTCCTACCTTTTTCATGCCACAATGGAATAAGTTCTTTCTAAATTTATTACAGCCCCCCCAGAAATGTGTATTTAAAATAATTTTCCATTATTATTATAATATTATATTCAAGACATTAAAAAAATATATAATTCAACAATATTAGTCCACATTATCAAAATTAATAACACATATTTCTTCATGGTAATTAGTAAGAATATTCATAATTAATAAATACATAATATCCCTCGGGATATCGTATTGAACTCAATAAGGAATTCAACTAATTCAATATACTATAAAGTGTATTTAATTAGCTTAGGTTAGTAGAGCAATTGAGAATTTCCATAATTGTCCGCATCGGTGAATGGGATCAATTCGCTGCGGGTCAACAAATGACCCAAAAAGGTAGGATCGGACCGAAAGTCCGCTCTGCTAAAAGGGCGGAACATTATTTCAGACGTTTCATGTTACGGCTTTCCTCGGAGGAATTTTCTCCGCCAACAAAGATCATAGGAATTATCCAAAAATTTCGAACGAAATATTTCACTTCAATAATGATTTATATCGAAATACCTAAAATTTATTGCATCCATAAAAATAATTCTATTAAACGAAATACTTCCGCCCTATTTATTTAATTGTATAATTGTTGCAATAAATATTACTGTTGCTACAATTAAAATACATCCAAACAGATACTCAATTGGCAAATATTTCAATTGTAAACCATAGAAAATAATAATAATAATAATAATATATTGTACAGTTTATACATATATAATAATTACTTGTAATGTAATGATATAAACTTTAAAACTAAATACAAACTATAAAATAATCATTATTATAATATTTAACTGCAGGTGCAAACTATTAAATTAAAACTTTAAATTACACGAAGAATATATTTAAGTAGTTCAAATTAAATTTCCACGGTCGCAGATTCACTTAGCATTTGTCGCAGTGAAAATTGCTTCGAAATATGCAAATAAAACTTTTGCGTGACTCTTGATCAAATGTTTGCTAATTGAATCTCTCCACAAAACCTAATTTCGTTCTCGTTCACAAATATTTATCAATTAATTATTTTGAATACAACATTTAGAGAAAACTACTTGCACTTATTAAATATAATTACAGTTTATTTACTCTTCTCATTTTTTAACTAATTTAATCTGTCCAGCAAAAATCTCTTACTGCATTAAATTAATAATTATTATTATTGCAATGGTTACAAAATTAATACGTATTTATTTAACAATAATTACAAATATTATGATTATATAATTACGTTTGAATTATTTTGTACGTTTATCTATGTTTATAATTTATTCTTTCTTAAGAAAATAAATTATAATGAGCAATTAATAAAATAATATTTAAATTAACAACTAAAAACTATATTTAATTCATTTTTTACTATTTACGACTAACATTTTCATTTAATTTTAAAAATTAGTTATTTGAATGAATTTATTTCATGGCAGAAAAATTATATCAGTTTTGACGGATATGCAAAAATTGTCTGAATTTAATACCTTCAAATAAATGTTCTCAAGTTTGAATTGAAGATATATCAATATTGAATGCTTTCATTATCATAATTCTTTTAACGTTCTAATAAATATTTTCTATTAATATAAAAAAATGCTAAATTTCTTCAACACTAAATTTATTTTATTTCTATGGAAACAAAGAGAAATTGAAAATAATATATTTTAATTAATTCCAAAACTAACTAAAATAATTGTTCTTTCTTTAATTGTGAATATCTTTAATTCTCAAATTAAAACAAAAAATAAATATTGAAGCAAATTCACAATTACCTAATTGTTGCAATAGATATGAATTTTATATATTTAGAATCTATTTTTCAAATGAATTATTTCGATTTATAAATTTTATTGATATAAAATATACCGATTTTCTTATTTTTTTTTTGATAAAGTTGATATTTCTAGCAATGAGTAATTAAAAATAGTTTATTACAATTAGACAATTTAATACATATACATTATTTCATGACAGATATGTTTTGACGGATGTGCGGATACGTCAAATTAAAATTATTTTTTGGGTACAAATTTCAGTGACAGATAAAAGTTGAAGCTAAATTAAATTTAAAATAATTTACAGATAAATGCGATTTTATAATTCAGATATGAAGGGTTGATGCGGATACGAATTGCGTCCGGTTGGGGGGAATCCCCTGTTTGATCCGCGAATCACTAACATATAGATATATAGATACAAGCCGTTAATTTTAATGCAAATGGAGATTGATGGTGAGTGCGATGCATCGAAGCGATTAATTGTGATCTCGATGATTTAGCAGCCGACCTCTCGCAATGATCAGTTGGTAATAATGAGATTATGTGGGTTTTCTAGAGCAGTGTTTTTCAAACCTAGAGGTGAAGAGTTCGAAAAGCATTGGTCTAGAAATTGCGCGCAGTTTCAAATTATACATGCGAATCATTTACCTTATAGAGAGTTAATTGCTTATAGTCCTTTTCGTCCTTTTTGCTAATTATTGTTTTTTTTTATTGTTTTTCTTTGGGGTTGAGAGTGTTAGTTGCTGCTGGTTTTTTTTTATGTTGAGGTGGTTGAGAGATTGCGGGGATCGTGTAACGTGTGAACAACAAACTTCTTGCTGGCCGCACACGTTTTCCGAACGGACGCACACGCTTTTCGCGCACGATCGTGTGCAATTTTCCGCGCTCCGGGATGCTGTCGTTCCGGCTTCGAGGAGTCGAATGAGAAGAGCGCACGCGACTGTATCTGAAACCAGAGGATGGACGGCGATGTGCTTTGGGGTCTTGCGCGCGATTCCTCCTGCGTCCTTCGCCACCACCACGAGGACGACGCGGCGGCGGCTTTGGCGGTGGCTTTCGTATATCGACCGACGCGATGCACGGGAAGCGTCGCGACACCGTCCACGTCGTCCTCTCCTCCTCGACGCCGTCTTCATCGCCGCGCAATCCGTCAACCTCGACTTCCTCAATCTCCACCCAACGCCTGTCATCCTCCTAAGACACTTCCAGATATCTTCATCCATCAGATGTCCGCCGCATTCACCATCACTATCAACGCACAAAACCGAACCGAACAACAACACTTTTCTATCAACTATATGACTGTCAACGAAAATAATATTTTAACTTGCAACTTTGATCAATTTCTAAAATAAAATTGTCTTAGATTTTATAAAATAAAATTTTTCCTTTTGCCTTAAGTCATCCAAAATTACTGAAATTTATTTAGATTTTTCTTTATTTTAGTAAATATAAAAATAAACGAAAATACCGGTACTTGATTTCAAAATTTACCGGTAATTTTAATAATAATATTGGCAGCTAAACCCGGTTAACCTCTACCTGTACCCGTCTTACGGTTACAGTATGTCGATATTATATAAAGTAACAATTGTTACAATATTTGCTGTGATGGACCATGACTTAATTAGAGATTTTTCTTTTAACTTTTTGTTTTTTGCATGCACTTCAGAACAAAATGTTCACATAATTTATGATTCAAAATCATTAAATTTCTGCTTTTTTTTTCCAATTTGACAGGTCCAATTTAGGTAACTTTACCAATTAATCAATAGTAGTTCACTTAATTATTATGTTGCTTACTTCTATACAGTATAATCAATTATAAATTATATGAATCATAAAGTAAATACTATTTTTTTAAACGTTTATATTATTTTATAATTTATCTTGTATTTTTTTCTATGCATTATGTACGTTTTTTTAATCCATTATAACATAAGATACAAGCAACGTAATTCGCTGTTGGACACACATGCATAAATAAATCGACCAGTTGGTCGAAAGTATTGGATGGAAGCGCATGTAATTTTCTATACATTATCATCACCATTAGAGACTTGATTGATGGAAGAGGTGTTTGGTTTATCCCGAAGGAACACACCGTGACTCCAACTAAATTACCACTGGATTAGAGAACATATTCGAACGCTCACTGTAGGCTACGGCTGTTGCATTTCGAATTACGTATTTCAAACATGATTTACATGAAATACAGAATCAAAATACATTTTCCAAATTCTAAACATAAACGCAATAGAAAACAGAAATTAAACCGGACTAATCGAAGACTTTAAAACCACACAAAAATTACTGAAATAAATTATCGTTTATGTATAAACAATAATATGTACTAATTTTTAGAATTTATACTATAGTGAATGTAACATAAAAAGTAATCAATATTTGTTAAAATAATATAACATATTCTTTTGAAACAAGTACATCGCTTTTATAATAAATTTTATGTTACATAAGAACCACTTTTAGAAAAGTTGATAGATTTAGCCTGGAGCGACATGTAATCAGCAATAAACCGCTGTATAAATTGCTGTTTCTTACGTTTAATTGAAATCATATTTCTTTTTAAGAAAATTACTTCATGATATCTTGTCTAGAATTATAAGAATTTATATCAATATTTTAAATTAATATTAACTTGTCTATTAAATGGATGAAATAAATTTATTAATTTGTGAATATGATCATGAATAGATGGTTTAAAAGTGGATGTAAAGACTAAGTGGATGAACTAATTGTGTCGATGGTAAAGTTGATCGAATGCCAAAGCGAAAACTCAATGAAGCCGTTTCCAGCGAGCCATTAAATGGCATCCATAAAACTTCAATTATACTAAAGTATTTTGAGTCGCTTTCGTCGTTCGTTCCTCACTTTTTGCGCCGTACAATGTGAAACATTCGTTGTTGCATCATGGAAAGAATTCGCTTTTATAAGCGCAGAAAGTTTCGCTGGAAATCTATATAAACCTTTTATATTATTTAATTTAATGAAAACTAATCTGAAAGGTAATAAAGTGCTAAGAAAAACATAATTTTAACACTTCCTCATACTCGCTCTTTAAGAACCCAACATAAACTTGTATGTATACTTGATGAGAGAAACTTTGTTGCACTAAACACGACGACGCTTGTTATTTATTGTATTTCAATTACCGTCGTGCACTTAAATGATTACAAAGATAATACAGGTATAATATATACATATATTATTATACAACAGGGATAAATGTTTCAGTAAAACCTGGTTGTAAAAGTTGGAATTTTGTCAAGAAAAATTATATTTAACATCTTTTTATTTCATTGCTGTCTTCTAATATGATTCTTAAAGTTATACACATATTAAGATTTATTATACGATTTAATATACAATTATACCTCGATTAATGAAACAGATTCAAAATTACTTCATTAAGCGAAAGAAAAGCTATTTTTTGAATAAGATAAGTTTCTTCTTTGCGCTTCTTTCTCTTTTATATAACAATTACCTATTCAAAATGTATTATTTTTTTTCGAAATCAGGATTATTTTCAGAAAAAAAAAACGTTTTCTTTGTCAAAATAAAAAACAACAAAAGATTTACAAAGGTTTTTAAAATCTTTGGTTGTTTTTCATTTTGTTTGTCTTCAAAGTTAACAAATTTTTCTAAATGTTTCATTAAAAAATGCATTTTATAAATTTCTAACATTTTCTTCATCGACATTTTTGAAACCTTATAATTGATCCATCTAATTAACTTCATTCCTAATTCAACTTCTTTTTATATTTTGCTTAAAATTTCGGACTTCGTTGAATCATAACTCTGTTATCAGAGGTAATTTTCACCGAGATGACTGCATTTTTTTTATAATAATTTTAAAATATCTTTAATGAAAAAAGTTGTGAAATTTACAACCATATTTACTTTTAATGAACGTTCTTTTTTAATCACCGAATTTAAGCGTTTACATTTAATTGGCGTAATTAATAACGGCGGAAATTAAGAGGGAAAGTTTTATTTTCCTCGATGCTGTTCTTTATCGGATTACGGCGGAGAGATTACGGGAAGGTTGCTTAATTTTTCGGTTAACGGAAGGTAAATATTTTGTTTGCGAGAATCTTCATTCTTACGTAATCCGGGTTTTGTGGAACGGCTTAAAGTTTTCGCCCTTTTCTATTAATCAACATAATTACTCGCATAATTAATTTCATGCACATTCTTTTCCTTCATTTTTAACTACAATATAAAACACTTTCATAAAGAATTTCATGTACGTATAGCAATACCTCGCATAGTACGGATATTTTGAAATCGGACTAATCGAGGAAATAAAAGATTCAAACCGTACTATAGTGAATACTGATATATAAATACAATTTTTTAACTATATTATTTACTATTATTTTAGTAATTCAAATCTTTATTTCATAACTATGTGAATTGAAGATCAAAATTCAACGCATCTGAAACCGCATGTTCAATTGCAGACCGCAATCCGCTTTGCAATTTAATTTAATTAGAGGAAAGGGTAGAAACGTCGTCTGACGTACCGCCTACGTGACACTACGTTATGTAATAAGTGACAATTAGTGTAACGAAGATTCCACTAAAAATCGGTATTAAATAAACATAAAGTGTTTGTCGGTTTACTATTGTATTATAGCATTAGGCAAACTTAATGATCTTCATAATACTTTCTTGAACTAATAATGTAATTTGAGAAAACAATTAATATTATCAAGAAAGCAGAATTCAAATTGTATTTCATTATTCTTAAATTTCCTATTAATTATATAATTAATTAAAATAGATGGCTCATTTTAGATAGAAATCAAACATAAAAATGAAGTGTTCCCCGGGTAGATGTACTAGGTCCTATCATAAGGAAAATATTTTTTTTAAAAGATTCTTTTAGCCAGTTTTATTGAATTTTAACTTTATTTTTGTTTTAAAAGTTTGTTGTATAATAAAAAACCAAGAATTTCCACCCTGTATAATTTTACAAAATTCATAATAATAGTTTTGAAAATAATAACTCTGGGTTTCAAAAACTGCATCAAAAAGAGACTTAAAATGAAAAAAACTGAGGCATTTTTGTTTTGTTTCAAAATTTAGTTTGTTTGGAAATGTTCAAACCGCACTATAGTGAATCCACACTAATTGGAGCCGTACTTTGCAAAGTACTATTATATAATTCAATAAATGATTGAATTCCAGAAGCTTGTTTGTTTGGAAAATATTACATTTGATTCTATTTTTATTATTTGTAAATCTTCAACATTCACGAGTTGCACGATCTTTGGACTACTTCTAAATTCTGAAATATTAACAAGTTTAAGTGTTTTATAGATATTGGTGATTGAAGAGTTCTTAGAAAAAAAAAATCGTTAGAATAAATGTAGGAAGTTAAGTTAATATTAATATATTATTGAAAATAGTGTTCAGGAAGTGACTGGGAAATTTATACATTTGCAAAGTTAGCGTAAACTGGAGCGGAGCCGCATTAGAAAATAAAAAATAATACGAAAAGAATGTTCCATTTCCATCTCGCAATTGCATAGGAGGAAAAGTTTGGATGCGGCGGAAAAGTTGGTGATTCATTCGGGATTTAATGGAGAGTAGGATAAATAAATGATAGAATGAGAGGTGGTATATAATACACGTGTTTGAGCAGGTGAGCAAACGTTCGAAATCGAATGCCTGCAACATTCCGGGGTCCGTAGTTCCGTAACAATTAGATACTACGTATCCTGGGTATTAGCAGTAAAGAGGCGCATTCCGGCGGCGCTGGATGCTGGAGGTTTATTAAGGATATTTACACACGTAGATAGAGGGTTTGCATGCATTCCAGGATTATTCCGTAGGTGTTAGACATCTCCATTTGCACGCAATTACCAACCCCGCAGCTTGCGTAACTCTTCCTGGATTTAACGTCTGCACATATTGCCCCGATGGAATTGGACCACTCCCACCCACAACCCGGAAAACGGAAGCGGAAACCGAG